ATATTCGATTCGATTCTTAATTATTCAATTCAAAATTTTGTAATTAAATTTTTTAAGAATAATCTCTCTGTCTGGACTAATTATGTGAATATAAAGACTAAAAAATACTCCCTCCGTCCCCCATACCGTGTCAGCTACACTGTAAACACGGTATTTTAAGAGAAGTGTAATTAGTAGATAATTAATAACGTATTAGTGAAAATAATTATTCTATAATATAAATAATTATAAATTAAGATTAAAATAACTAATTAGTTTAATTAAAATTTTAAAAAAATAAAATTAAAATGTTTAAAATGAGACTAAAGTGTATAATCATTTTCAAAAAAGAAAAGTGACATGGTACGTGGGATAGACAGAAACGGCAACATGGACATGGTATAGATGGAGTCATATTTTTAATTTAAAAATAGACAAATAAAAAATAAAGTGAAAATATTATATAAAAAAATCAAATAATAAATAATGAAGTAATGAAATAAAAAAAAAAGAGTAACAATTTAATTATTATATATTTAAGTATAAATAATAAAATTATGTGCGGATAAAATTGTTTATTATAAATTAATTACACATCAATTTAATTGAAAAAAAAAATTATCCCAAACAAACGAAATATTAAGATAGTTTTATAGAAAAAAAAATATAGATATACTTGGTTTGTTTGTTTAATGTTTTGATTTGAAAATTTTATTTTGATGTAAAGTATAGAATTATGTGAATAATATAAAAAATAATATTTTATATTAAATGGTAACTTTTGTAAAAGACTGAAAAAAAAGAGTGTGAACAAACCAACTATTTATCAAAATTTTTATATTGACACAACTTATAACAAAATATAATAGCATTCTATAGTTGTATTAAATAATTAATCATATTTAAAATTTGATTATTAAACTAACCTTAAATTATGAGTTTAATTATAAATGGTCTTACATACAGGTTACTAAAGTTTATTTTTAGCAATGGCTGGAGGACGTGACAGGTGTCCTGAGTAGGCGGAGGTTTGAACCAATGACCTCGCAGTCACAAATCTAACTCCACACCACCAGGCCATTCCTTACGGGCACAAGTTGGATTTGTGACTGAAATGTTGCCCGATCCTGGAACCCTAGGATGATGTTGCCAAACCCTGGCTCTCAAATAACGATGGTGTATTCTGATTTTTTTTAGTGTAGATTTAGTAACTCGTATGTGAGAATATTTATAATTAAAAAAATAAACCGTCCATCACGATTTTTCTGCTACTTCTCACATATATATTGAATGTGATAGACTTATCTTATTTATTGTGAATCGATGTTGTATATCATCCTCGGACCAATAGATATAGACATTATAGATCACTTGCGCGTCTTTCTTGATCACTGTTTCTGCATATGACTTGATTTCTCATGAGAAATAATGAATTAAATATATACATACATTATGTATCTTGTATGTATGTCATGGTCACATTTATGCATATTTATTATTAATTATACATAATTCATGGAATAAGATTGAAGTGCCAGAGATATTAATGCACGTGGATTAATGCATGTTTTATGAGAGATATATACACGCGTGAGGGCATATTTGTCTACATAATTATTATTTAATAATTTTGGTGAAGTTTGCTATTGATATTGGATTTGCCCTATTGTTAAAACCGCAGGCAATTTTATTTTATTTTATTCTTCTTTTGGCAATTCGTAATCGATTTATTTGCTCCAATTTTCATTGTGAGTTAAATGTTGCACTCATCTTAATCGATTTGTTAGTTTGATTAAATTTATGTCAATTAGAATAATACATCTCTTAAATTATGTCAATGTGTGCAGATGTGAGATTATTATTGTTGCTTCTAATTGACTCAATTTCTATCTTTTACATTTGGACCAATTATTGAATCAGATATGTCGTGAGCATTCGGCATTATTAATTAATATGTGATTCATTTATGTAATTCAATAGAAGACTATAGCCAAGCACTGGAATGATATTTGTTATGCAACGTGCATTTAGTAATTTTTGGACTATTTGATTATTTTGATGAGTTCATAAATTAATTGTTATTGTTATAATTTTCATATGTACTGGACATACATAGTTTATTTGAAGGTGAATTTTAATTAGCAATAAAGAGTATAATATATTTTATAAATGGGTTGAAACAGTAATGTTGCCATAGCAGCCTCTGCTGTGTAAATCGGTTTATTTTATATGTTAGAAGGTTGTGTATGTAGTTTATAAGGCTGCTGATTGACCCAAAGGCAAGTCAGCGATTAAGTAGTTACATGCATGTTTAATGACATTGAATGTGGTGATGATAATTTGGTTATTTGTGTGTGAACAATAGTTTTGTCCAAAGATGGAGTATTGTTCGACACAATACTTTATTGTCAACTTTCAATTGTCAAAACAAATTTATCACTGGCGAGTCAGTAATTTGTCCAAAGACAATTGCTGATGTTGCTCGATGACTTGTAATAAGATTGTTAATTTATTTTATAAATTCACATACAGAGGACTCAATAGCTTATAGACATGTGTACTTCAGATTGCATATTCATGATGTTTGTGATTTATTTTAAATTTTATTTAATTGGGGAATAGCCACAATATCCTCGATTAACTAAACATTTATTCATGATTTATTTGAAATCACATTAATAAACATCGATTGTAATTATCATATACAATGTGATGAGGTCTACCCACAGGAGTCTTGTTATGTTTATATGAGTGATTAGGATAAAATATCGAGTTGTATTTCTTAATCTACCCACAGGAATTAAGAAAAGAAACACAATTTGATAGTTTTATTGTAAAGTTTTTGTTTGAATCTAATTGAGTAAAAACTTTAGTCCACAAGCAAGTCTTATGTTTTTAGATTCATGTCTTAACATGTTTACATTGGTAGAACATATAATTTATTTGTCTCGTTTATTGATGAGCATGTATATTTAATTTTGGAGCGTTTAATCTTATAAATTTATCTGACATTAAGTGTGATGTCCTCGAATTGACTGGTGTTAATTACAAAATATGGAAGGAAAGGATCCTCATTCATTTAGGTTGGATGGGCATTGATTATGCCAATCATTTAGTTCTCCACCATGAGATTCACGGGTGTGAGGGGTGTGCGCGAGCACATAATGCGGATACGGGACATTATCCTACAACACACATAAAGATAAATGGTCCATCAATTAGTTGATAACCATGTGTGTTCAAGAGGATGAAAGACTATTAATGGAGGAATGTGAGAAAATTTAGTCCGTAAGCTTAATAAATCTATATATGGATTGAAGCAAGCCTCCCGCCAATGGTATTTAAAATTTCATGATGTTATCTCTTCATTCGGCTTTGAGGAAAACGTCATGGATCACTGTATATACCAAAAGGTTAGTGGGAGTCGTATTTGCTTCCTTGTGTTGTACTTGGATGATATTTTGCTTGTAACTAATGATAAAGGGATGTTATATGAGGTACCTTCAAGGTACGAAGGACTTCATGCTCATGTATAAACAAACTGATGTCTTGGAAGTGATTGGCTACTCCGATCCGGACTACGCTGGCTGCATTGACACTCGGAAATCTACGTCGGGTTATGTGTTCATGTTGGCTGGTGGAGCTATCTCTTGGAGAAGTGCAAAGCAGTCTATCACTGCTACTTCCACTATGAAGGCTGAGTTTGTTTCATGTTTCGAGGCTAGCTCGCATAGTGTATGGTTGAAGAGTTTCATATCCGAGCTTAGAGTCGTTGACTCTATTTCTAGACCGATCAAGTTGTACTGTGACAACTCTGCTGCGGTGTTTATGGCTAAAAACAATAAGAGTAGGAGTCGAAGTAAACACATCGATATCAAGTATTTAACCTTAAGATAACGTGTCAAGAAAAATAAAATGGTGATTGAACACGTTAGTACATAGTTGATGCTTGCTGATCCCTTGACTAAAAGCATGCCACTAAAGAATTTGAGGGATCATGTAGCAAGTATGAAACTTGATTCTACAATGTAGTTTATTTGTGCACATTGTTATTTGAGACTCTTATTCAGTTTTATGTTTTCTCGCTTTATTGTGTACATATTTTTTTATTATTGAAAAAACTCGTTTATGTTTAACCCGGAATAAATATATGATTTATTCATTAAGTTGTAAATTTAGTTTGAGATGCTTGACATATCGTGATACATGGAAAGTAACATTCGTTTATAGAAGACCTACCGTCATGATTCGTACATAAAGTTTCTCATTATGTTGTGATGGTTTGAGTGGGCCAAGTGGGAGAATGTTAGTTCAATTAATTAATTAATCATATTTAAATTTTGATTATTTTTGAATTGTCTTATATAATTAAACTAATTTTAAATTGTGGCCCACTTTTCTCCCATTAAGTCTATCACATTTAAAATATACGTGAGAAGTGGCAGAAAAATCGTGATGGGCGGTTTTTTTTAATTATAAATACTCTCACATACGGGTTACTAAATCTACTCTAAAAAAAATCAGAATACACCATCGCTATTTGAGAGCCAGAGTTTGGCAATATCATCATAGGTTCCAGGATCGGGCAACATCTTCACAGGGTTCCAAAGTTTGGCAACATCTCCGCGAGAATTCCAGGGTTTGGCAACACCATCTTCCCACGATTCAATCTACTAAGAAGAAGATCTCAAGAACAAATTTAATTTTTAGCAATGGCCGAAAGTTTGTTAATTATTATATTCACTTCCGTTAACATATTTGATTATATGTTTAACATTTTGTATACTTAAATACATATATATCTCGTAAAAATGATACTATTTTTTTTTTTAATAATTGTCTCAAATTCTAAACACAAAATCGGTCAAAGAACACACATCAAGAGTTTATGATTTAATAATGAGGAAAAACATAAAAATAAAAATAGATCTATTATTACAGTGGGCCTTCAGCCAAATTTCAAGGCCCAATATGTTTTGGGCTGAAGTCCACGTATAAAAATGACCGAGCGTCTCCTCTCTCCCCGAGTCTTCAGAAACCCTAGCCGGCAGTTCAGGTTTCTTCCTCTTCTCCCTCTCGGCGTCAATTTTTTTTTTTTTCTTTTTGTTTTTAGGGTTTTGCGTATAATTGTATGGAATGTAAGACCCAAAGTTTGGTTATATTTTTAGGTCAGGATTCTCAAGAGTGTAGGGAGTGCTCCACTTCGAGATGGCTCCAGCCAAAGGTGCGCGCTCTGCGATTAGCAGTTTTGAATTCTGAGTTCCTCGATAGATGCTTTTGCCTTCTTCTTTTTTCCCCTTGTTTTTAGTTCCCTGCTTTGATATTAATTAAGTTTCTATGAGTAATCCGTTCGAAATTAGTTGCGATATTCAGTTTCTGATTTGCTAAAATGAACAGAATTTCGTAACACGATCGTTAGATTGCTTTGGAGCTGAGAATCTAATGGTTTTGAGATGCTAGCTATCGCTCAGTTATTTGGTTTGGGGAATAGGATAGACGAGCATGCAGGAATACCCTCGCATATTATTGACTGAACCTATGTGATGGGGGTAATGTTTCTTTGGCCTTGCAACTACCTAATTGTTCAGGCGGTGTAGAACGACTTTGCATCATATACCTCATGATTACGTGTTGGCATTTCCCCGGAGAGTTGTACAATGATATGCTGTCTATACTATATGTTGTGATATTGGTTAAATTAACTCCATACGAACTTAAGGAATTCGGAATCAGTACATCACCATAGGACTCGTTGTTGAAAGCATTTATTTCTAAATGTCAATGATGTGGATGCATGTATAGGTAACCGTATACAGTTGCTATAGACACAAATGCCTGGCTGTTGGTCATCAAAAGACTGCTCTTTTAACCATTCTATGTCCAATCTTGTTTTGCTGAACTTGACGTGCATAATTATCTTGTGCTTTTCTAGCTGATCCCGCCAAGAAGTTGGACTCAAAGGCTCAGGCTTTGAAGACAGCCAAGGCTGTAAAATCTGGTGCTGCGACCATTAAGAGGAAGACTAAGAAGATCTGCACAAAAGTTACTTTCCACCGACCAAGGACATTGAAGAAGGATAGAAATCCCAAGTACCCACGGATCAGTGCACCTCCTCGCAACAAACTTGATCATTACCAGATTCTCAAGTACCCTCTCACCACTGAGTCTGCCATGAAGAAAATAGAAGACAACAACACCCTAGTTTTCATAGTGGACATTCGCGCTGACAAGAAGAAGATCAAGGATTCTGTGAAGAAAATGTACGACATCCAAAGCAAGAAGGTTAACACCCTTCTTAGGTATGGATTCTCCTCTTGTCCAAATTCGATTAGCTCACGTTGGCAAATGTTTATTTTGTGTTCCCTCTTTACCCCACCTCAGGCCAGATGGTACGAAGAAGGCTTATGTTAGGTTGACGCCCGACTACGATGCATTGGATGTTGCCAACAAAATTGGGATTATCTGAGCAGTGACTCCCTCTCCTGATTTCTATCTATTTATGTATGTCTTGAAAGGGCATTGGATTGTTCAAGTTTCTTTTGTGAACTTGTATCCATCTGGTTTGGAATTCACTCAAATTTTGCCTGTTATGAGATCCAATTTTGCGAGGTTTTGTGAAAAATATATTGCAAGTTCCTTGATTTTTGTTTTCTTATTAGTGATAGGTTGGTTTATTTGTAGAAATTATTCTCAGGCAGGTAATTTGATGTCAATAATATTATTTGATAATATGAATGTGTTTGGTTTGTATTTGGTTTTGTGTTTTGCGTTTGTGTTTAATGCTAAGGAAAGGGAATTGTTTTAAGAGAGTAGCACATTGCCCAACAAAAAATATAGATAGCACATAGTTTAAAATAATACAATACAGCACATGTTGGCCGTTTCATAAGGGGTAATACTCCCTCGTTACGATTAAGAAAATTTGATTATAGTTAATTAGTGTAATTAGATAATGTAATATATGTGATAAAATATTATTTTAATTATTTTAATCTGATGAAATATTGAAATAAAAGTTTGAAATATAATTTTATCTTATTTTATTTTATTTAAATTTAATATTTTATTTATTGAAATTATTTTATTTTAAAAAAATATTATTATATTAATTGTAAATTATGTGATTAGATAAACAAAAAAATTTAATTGTAATAATTTAAATACAAATAACAGCCATAATACTAAAATTTTTAATATAAATAAAATATCAAATTTTTCGAATTTGATTGTTGGTAGGGATAGTTTGATATTACATACCAAAATTTATAAAGCATATTTTATATATTACTGAATTTATAGATGAAAAAATACTGAATTACAGAACGTACTAAAAAATACCGAAAATGTCAAATTTCAGTATACAGAATTTTTTTTTTGTATGGTATCGATATTTTTTTTAATATACCAAAAAAATCGGTGTGGTATACAATATGGTTCGGTATTATATGAATACAATATTGAGTCATTTCTAATCGAATTACATGTATGGTATCATAATATAATATTTTACGCTGAAATATAAAAATTATAAATAATTTTACAATTTTAAAAATATATTAAAAAATTAATTATTCTAGTATCAATATACTAAATTATTGATATAGACCAATATATCATATACTAAAATATCAAACTATATTGATAATTTCGGTATATATTATATCAATAATGCCAAAAGTATATTCAATTATCATACTGAAAATGTTCGGTTGGTATCATATCATATAAAAATTTACGATACACAATAATTTTGACACTTTAGTATTTTTCCATACGGTACTGCATTATTTGAGCAAATTGATATTTTTCGCTCTTAATAATAGTGATAAATGAATTTATTTAATGAAATATAAAAATCAAATTCTAAATCAAATCTCATTATTAACGTAAAAATATCAAATCAAATATTTTTTTATATTATATTAAAAATTAATTAAAAAATTTAGACATCGCATAAATACTTATTTATATCATATTGAATATTTATTAATTTTTATTATTCAAAATTTCAACCCTACTTTTAAATTTACAATAAAACAAACAATAAAAATTAGATGTATTAGTAATTGAATAAAATATAGTTAAATTTGTAATTGTAACTAGTATTTACTAATTATTACTATATTATGAAATGTGACTAATTTCGTTGGACGACCAAAAAAGAAAAAATAGACTAATTTCATGGGACGGAAGGAGTATAATTATAGTGTGCGACATTGATATACAGTTCATACATATTATTGTGCTATATTAAGACATTAGTATATGTTATGCTCAAATTAACAGTAGATGCTATGAATATATATATACTAGGCGTGGAATTATCAAATTTAAATATAATTATGACATTATTTTTATCTAATTTTATAAAAATTTATATATAGATATCTTCAGTTAAAAAATATATGACATAATAATCTAATATATTTATATTTTATTATTCCATTTCTTTTATAATTTTTTTTTCTTTTTGTATTTTGTTGTATTTAATTTTTTATTTTATATGCGTGAAAACTATATCGATATAAATATTCATTCAACTAATATTTTTTAACAATATCAGTCGTTAACATTCACTCTAAAAATTCATATTTTCCCTTTTTTTCTAAATAATAATTTAAAAATAATTTCTAATACAGTATATAATAATAAACTAATTATAATATATAATATAATTAATAAAAGTATTGAGTAAATAAAATAAAATCATTTTTATCAAATTAATATTAACTTACTAAGTCTACAATTGAAAATGTCAACAACAATGATCTAAACTTTTTTTATTTGAAACTAAATTTAAAAGTTAAATTATATATAAATTTTTTAAATTTAAAACAAACCATTTAAAAATTTGAAATGGACTAAAACTATTTAAAATTATTCAAATATATAATTAAATGTGATACACATGATATATATATATATATAAATCTATTAAACCATAAATAAAAATAAAATAAAAAACATTATATTTGTTTGTAAAAATTATATCAAGTCTATTTCATTAATATATTTAAAATACTAAAATAATCTAAATAATATTTAACATATTTAAATATCTCTTATAAATAAAACAATATCATATTATATACATTTAAAATTTTCATGAAATTCATAAATGCAGGATAAATTAAAAATAAAATTAAAAATAAAACTTTATAAATTGAAATTATTTCAAACTGAAATTATTTTAAATGGCATTAGTAAGTATTAGGAAAAATAATTATAATTTAATAAAAATAATTATAAATTAAAATTAAAATTAAAATTAAAATGACTAAATATTTTAATTAAAATAAATTTAAATTAATTAAAAAGTATAATTATATTAAAAAAACAAAAATGACAAACACAAAAATAAAAATATGAAACAAATTAATTGGAAATGAGAAAATAATAGACAAAAAATATATATATATATATATATACCAAAACCAAAACCAAAAAAAAAAAAAAAAATCACAACAAAATGTCCAATAGTTTTAAATTATTGGCTACTAATAGTAATCCCTCCATTCAGGCTAGAGTGTCCGGAAATTTTAGAAGTGATATAATTAGTAAATAATTAAAAATATATTAGTAAAAATAATTATTATATAATAAAAATAATTTTTGAATTAAGATTAAAATAACTTACTAATATAATTAAAATTTAAAAATTATAAATTAAAAAAATTAAAATGTATAATTATTTTTAAAAAGAAAAAGAAAAATAGAACTGAGAAAAATGGGGTGTATTCAATTGGAATTTCAATGGATTTTAAAAAGTCTATGGATTTATCTAGATCTAGAAAATTCACGGAGTCTATGTTGAGTTTGATAGATTTTAGTAATTGATTTACATGAGTTTTTTACATATTTGATTGAATTCTTTATGAATTTATATGAATTTCGTGGGGATTGTAGAAAAATCATTTTATGGATATATATAATTATATAAATTTATATCAAACAAAAATTTTATAAATATAATATATTTATAATTAAAGTTACTTATATATTATTAAAACACAAATTTTATAAATGTAATATATTTATAGTTAAAGTTATTACATATTATTATATTTTTATAAAATAAAATTTAATATTAATTATTAATAAAGTTAGAATTGTAACATATGATAATACTACTATATTTTATATTGATATTTTAAATTTTATAATTTTAGTATTATATTACTACTTCCGTCTACACTCTAGACACGATATTTTAGGAGGAGTGTAATTAATAGATAATTAAAAATATATTAGTGAAAATAATTATCTTATAATATAAATAATTATAAATTAAAATTAAAATAACTAATTAGTTTAATTAAAATTTTTTTAAAAAAATTAAAAAGTTTAAAATGAGATTAAAGTGTGTAATCATTTTCCAAAAAAGAAAATGACATGGTATGTGGGACGGAAATAAATAGCAACGTGAGCATGGTACGTGGGACGGAGAGAGTATTATTTAATATATCAAATTAATTTTATATTTATTTATTAGTTATTATTATTTATATAAATATTTTACATAAAAAAATTAAATACGTATACAAATAGAATAAAAAACATAATTTATGATTTTTAAAAAAATATTAAAATAAATAAATATAAATTAATAGTTCAACGAAAAATATATATTAAAATATTATTCTATTGTCATCGGAATGACAATATACTATATTCGATAATTGAAAAACGAGAATGATACCAGAATAATAATATATTATATTCGATAATTGAAAAACGAGAATGACACCAAAATGAGAATATATTATATTAAATAATTGGAAAAGGAGAATGACACCGGAATAACAATATATTATATTCGATAACTGAAAAAGAAGAATAACACCGAAATGATAATATATTATATTCGATAATTGAAAAGAAAAAACGACGGTAATACATATTTATTATGATAATAATATTTTTTAAAATTATATTTATAATATAAAACTATATATTAAAAAAATTGATAATAATTCGCTAATATATTTTAAATTTTAATTATTATTTTTATTAAAATTTATAATAATATTAATAAATACTTCCTCCGTCCATTTTTTATTGTCCTGAAGTATATTTACACGGTTTTTTAGATGATTGTCTTTTTGTTATGAATGGACAAATTTGCCCTTAAGTGTATAGTAGAGATTAAAAGTAATAAATGAATAAAGGGTAAAAATGTAAAATTTGTGTTTAAAAAAAGAAATAAGAATATAGTTGTTGGACGTCCAAATAAGAAAGTAGAACTCCGTCCCAAAAATATACTCTTAATTGGGTTGGACACGAGATTTAAGGAATATTGATATTATATTGGTAGTTGGTAAAAAATATAGATAAAAGATTTTTTTGCCTTTGTGGGTGTATTAATGTAAAAAGTAGTGGCAATTGTGTAATAAAAATGAAAAAACAGGGGTAGTTTTATGGTGATATGGTTATTTATGGAAATAAGACTATTGTTTTGAAACGAACAAAAATGATAAACAAAACTATTATTGTATTAGGACGAATGAAGTATTCTTTATAACTTATACAACAACAACAACAATAATTACCTCGAAATTTTGAAAGAATTTTAAAAATTTATATTGAATATCTCCAAATTTTAAAAATTAATTAAATACCTCCAAATTTTAAAAAACTTTTGGAAGTCTTATCGAATACACCTTAATTAATTTTAAGAGTCTACACCTCCTAAAAAGAGGTAAATAAGAGGATGGTTAGGATTGCAGTGTACAGACAACTCAGCAGTGCAGTGATCCTGCTGTATTAGAGCAATTGCAGCAACCCAAATAAAGAGTGACTTCCTTTGTTTCAGAGGACGTCGTATAAATTAAACATATACAATGGCTTTTTCCTGGACGACGGACCAAAATTTTCTTTTTCTTTCTTCTTTTCTTTCTCTTTTTTCTTTTCTTTATTCCGCGTCACCGTCTCTTCCTCTTCTTCCACCAATATCTCTGTTCGTCTGCGCCAAAGCTTCTCCAATCTCTTTCAAACTCGAATTTTTTCTTCTTCCACCAAGTTCTCTGTACGTCTGCGCCAAAGTTTCTCCAATCTCTTTCAAATTCGAATTCTCCAATCTCTTTCAAACTCGAATTTTTTCTAGCTAAGCTTGCGGATCGTCGTTTTTGTCGATAAATTTTCAACAATTTTATTTTATATTTTGGCTTTGATTGAATCTTAGTTGCATTGCTTTGACAAATTGAGGATGTTGGGGCCTCAAAGCCAGGGCTTTGATTTGAACAAACAGTTTCGCTGTCAAAGCTAGGGCTTTAGTTCGAATAAATCCACAATCAAGTTCATAATTGAAGAGAATGTTGAACCTTATCTCTATATCCTTTTTTATTTTATCAACAATAAAACCTCTCTTGTTTATCCCACACGAGCTAGCTGATTGAAGAAGAAGAGAAGCAAATACTGAAACCCAAATGGGAGAGAAAAATACTGAATAAGCGATTTTTTTTTGTTTTTTTTTTTGTAGGATTTTGGAAGAAGAGGAAATAGCGTGATGTGATGTGAGATAAAATAATTTTTTTTCCTCCCTCTCCTTAGTTTTAAAATAAGATAAGGCTGTTGGATGAATTTAATAAAATACTCCGTGACAACTAATTCATGGGCATTGAGAGGTAGACATTAAGAGGCAAAATTGCCACTGCAATTGCTCTTAGTGCCACATTATTGTTTCTAGCCGACGGACGGAGGTCAGCCCGCTCTCAGTCCAAGTCACACTAATCTAACAGATCACTAATAAATACTACCTTGCCAAGAAATATGAAACAAACCCATGCTAATAAATTAGTATCCTCTAACGATCTTCACTCCACAAACCCACATAAATTATTATTATTATTTAAAAAAAAGACAATAAAAATAAAAGAAATGCATTATTGCATAGAGGATGAATTTATTACCTCATCTCTTCATTAAATTGAAGAACTGTGGGCGGGGCGAGGAGGAGGAGGAGGAGGCGAAGAAGAATCATCTGTGGCGGCGGCAGCAGCAGCAGTGTTGACTACTTTCTTGGCCTTGTGGTGGTCCATCTTCCTCATCTCCATCAATCCCTTGAGAAATGCGTCCACAATTTGTTTCTGGGATTCCAACAGCATTTGGTTTCGCTTCATCTCCATCTCCATCCTCACCACCTCCATTTCCCTCGCCATTTCCATCTTTGCTTTCTCCACCTTCACGAACCCTTCTCCCAGCATTTTGATCGACGCAACCATCTCTTCCACGCCATCATCCCTACCCCTCTTCTTCAACCCTGCTGAATCCGCAACACTAGTAGGGTTGCTCATCCCCCCCGCCCCCGCCCACAAGTTGGATCGCAATTTTGTTCTGTCGCTGTTGGCGGTCGGGAACCTGACCCAATACTCATGGTTTGGATTCACCCTACTGTCGATGGGATTGAATTTCTCAAAGTTGTTCACCGTTAGACGTGGAGGGAGCATTTCAGGCGCCTGATGAATCCCGGCTCCGACTTCATCCAGGCTCCTCACGATTTTGTTGCCAATTATTTTGGGCTTGGGCTTGGGCTTCAATTGAGGTTGTGGAATCCCATTCACCAGAGGTGGTTCTTCTTCTTCCTTGTTTACGTACAGCGAGTATTCACCCGGAAGATGGGTCGCAGTCGCAGTCGCAGAATTGAATCTCTTATTAGATTTGACAAAGCTGTGGCCGTTAAATCCTGAATCTGGAATCGCATCGGCGCCGTAACCTTGCTTGACCTTCAATTTGAGTATATTCTGGTCGAGGAAGGATTGCAAACGAGATCCATCATCGTCGGGGTGGTTTAGGACGTGCGTGGTTCCGTTCTCCATGGCTTCCATATTCTCGAAGAAAAACCAGGAGGAGAAGTAACGACCGACGGCAGGGGCAGGGGCAGGGAAGGAGAGAGCGCGCTGCTTCTCAGCTCGGTATCTCTGGCGGAGTTTCTCCATCTTGTGGCGGCACTGAGCGGAGGTTTTGGCAGGGGAGGCGGCGGGGCAGCAGTTAGCAACTGCGGCGGCTACAGCGTCCCAATCTGGCGTGCGGAGGTAACCACGGCGGAGGGAGTACCAACGCTGGCGGTATGCGTCGATGAGAGCTAAGGTCTCCTCTTGCGTCCAGCACGGGGGTGGAAATCTCCGCCGCGGAGCTTTCCCCACGGTGTCGGCGACGGCAACGGCAACGGCGTCATCGGCATCGGCCGTAGGAAGGGACGACATAAGGAAGGAAGGAAAGGACGGCGGCGCCGGAAGCTAGAGAAGTTTGGATCGACGCCAGAACCGAGGGCAAAAACAATCAAAATAAGAAGCAGCAGAGGTAGGACTAGGGAAAGACGACGAGATCGGAGTGAGTTTAAAATCCACCGGGTGCAGCAGCAGCAGCAGGTGGTGGTACTGTGCTAGTGGTAGCGGTAGGTAATCAATTCATCGGCGGTGGTGCAAAATGGAGAGAGAGAGAGAGAGAGGGAAAGGGGAAGAAGCATTATTGATAGATAGGGGAGGCGTGGGGGTGGGGGCGGGGGCGCAGAGGTCATACGGCGCATGATAGATGGGGAGCAGCGAGGGGGAGGTAGTAGGGTGGGTGTGGTGGTGGTTGGCATGATATACTCCATACGATAAGATTGCAGCAGGAAATATGGGCGGTGGGGTGGGGTGGGGTGGGGCGAGGTGTGGTGGGTGGAAGTGGAGGTGAAGGCGTAGTGGACGCATTGAAGATTCAGCGGCAGCATAGCAGCTGTAGTAGGAGTGGTGGAGAGAGAGAAGGTGGGTGGTGGTGATGGCGATGATGCTACCCGCCCCTATCTCCTATCCTACCCTACCCTACTCTAGCCTCCCCTCCATACGCAAGCAAGCAACTGGTGCTGGTGCCGCTGTCTGCTGCTGCGGTGAGTGAGTGAACCCCACCCCACCTCACCTCTACTGCTGCTGCCAGTCAGTCTACCGCCACCGCTCTCCGCGGTTAATCCATAAGATTATTGTTACTATTATTAATATTATTATGTACTACTACTTCTATAACGTTAAGTTTTAAAAAATAGTGCTATCATATCATTAAATAGGGAGGGAGTAGTGCGTAAATTCATTTCATTTTAATCAACAATATATGTCAGAAAGAAGTATAATTTAATAATGTTAACCTAACTAAACAATGAGCGGTAGCAGCATGTATTATGTAGTACTATTATTTATAATGTGTTTTTTCAACCAAACTTACTTTCAACACGCCATCTGTGTGAGTGGCGCAGGCAGCGCAGCACGCCACCACCTCCTCCTCCTTGGCCATTCATTCATTCGTTAAAGTGTCTGTATTCGTCTTTTGCACCACCACCACCAGTACCACCAGAACAGAACATAATTGACATATATAGCCCAGCCCATCACGATCCACCCACCGCCACTCTTAATTCATATGATACACAGCAGCAACCGCAACCGCAGTAGCATGTTGGTGATGTGGTCCGCCCCGCTACCTATCCCTATCCCTATCTCCATAAGCAGACATATAGGGGACTTGGGGCCAATTCCTCTCCCAAAGCCCCGAAAAATATCTTATTTTTTTATTATTATTTAAAATAAATAAAATTTATATAAATATATTATTTTGCCTTTTCTAAAATTTAAATTCATTATTTTATTTTATTTTTTAATTTAATATTATTATATACTTTGTTATTATTTTTTAAATATTAATTTATATTTTTTAAAATAAAAAATACTATTCATATAAACCTAATAAATTAATATTAAAATTTATTAAAAATAACACTCATTTTACTTAAAATATTTAAAATATTGTAAATCTTATCGGAGACAGAGGAAATAGTATTATATTGTGTTTCACCCCATGATATCCCATATTTATTCATTTAGACACTATTTAAACAAAAGGCCTTTTTTTTCTTTAGAATTTTGAAATTTTAAAAATAATAAAAATTAATATTTAATATAATATTTTATTATAAAATATATAGTTAATGTGATTTTTCTTAATTAAATAATATTAAAATTTTCAAAATTGTTTGTAGGCATAGACCAATTTTCTCCTTTGACTCTGTTATTTGAATTACAAAAAGTATTTTTAAAATAATATACTTTCTTCGTTGACAAATTAATGACCTACATTTTTGTATAAAATATCCAATAATTATTTTTATATTTTTTAATATATAAATTTTATTTTTTTATTCTTAATTTATTTATTATTTTAAATTTTTATTTTACAATAAAAGATAAATTTGTCGATTTATAACAAAAAATAATTATCTAAGAAAAACGGTATAAATATACTATAGAATAAAAGAGATTGGACGATGGAGTAAATCCTCGTGTTAACTCAAACATATAGGTGGCAAACTTAAAGAAAAGTTACACTTTCTCCATTTCAAACATCATGCAACATTTGTGTTTGGTACGAAAATTTAGGTGGAGAGTATTAAGTATGGTAATTTGAGATAATTTGAATATTAAGTGATGTGATTGGAGAAAGAAATGATTATTTGTTTTTTTATTTGAATGATGTGATGGGATAAAGTCAAGTGTATATTAATATATGTATAAAAATATTATTAATTATGTCTAAATTTGAAAATATTGTAGTGATTTTGAGAAAAAAAAAAAAAAAAGAAATATTATAGTACTACATTGCAAGTTCTGTTACCTCCCTCTCCCTTGCAAAGAGCGAAAAGAATAATACTCCCACTGTCCCACGTATCATGTCCACGTTGTCGTTTCTGTCCGTCCCACATACCATGTCACTTTTCTTTTTTGAAAAATGATTATATACTTTAATCTCATTTTAAAATTTTTAATTTATTTTTTTAATTTTAATTAAACTAATTAGTTATCCTAATCTTAATTTATAATTATTTATATTATAGGATAATTATTTTCACTAATACATTCTTAATTATTTACTAATTACACCTCTTCTAAAATACCATGTCTACAGTGTAGCAGACACCGTATATGGGACGAAGGGAGGAATAATAATATCAAATCCTTATAAATCAAGCGGTAAGACATCTCTCATTTGAAAGTGGTCCTAGGTGCGTGAATGTGTTTTCAAGATATTTTAGGATAAATTCTTTAACAACAATAAAAGTTTTTTAGCATTAAATCCCATTTTGAAATTGGTTTATTCTGCAGCAGCAAATGCTAGTTCCAATATGGTTCCGACGAAGCCAATTTACTAATTAATAAGGCTGAGGCTAACGAAGGTACTAGTGTGAAGAAATTCAAGCCCCGAGCTCGGGCCGTAGTTATGCGATATGCTTGAACATTAAACTATTGTAGAGAATTTCTCAATTTTAAAAATTTTTATTGAAAAGACCATATTATATCTTGTAGTTTGTAATTTGAAATAATTATTATTGAGCTCTAATTTTATTTTTTTAAATGTATAATTAGGAACTTTTGAAAAAGACATATATTAACAAACAATGTTATTTATTTTAAAAATTAGTTATTTTTTCGTTGTGAATTTTCATTATAACTTCCCAAAGTATAGATATAATTAAACGATAGATTAAAATTTGATTTTTACAATCGATAAAGAAGTAATGAACATACATTCAACTGTTAATATTGTTAAATGTTTCAGAGGTGATCAAGGTAAAGTGAATCAAATGAAATAATACAACTAACTTGTATCGAAGTCAAGCATTCATATGCCAAGATTAAATGAGATTTTAAAACAAAACCGAAGCAATAAAAAGAAAACAAGCATAAACTTCGAAAGAATATAATAGAATTAGATAGATTTGTAGTATGCAAGAAAAATATGAGACTTACATATGATCATACTTCTTAAGAAAATATATTTTTAATTCAAACATAATTTGGTGATGATAGAATCCTCCATTGACAGAACACATGCTACACAAATGGCAAAAAATCTTCCGCATGATGAAAATGAGCACCTGTTTGACGAGCAAAATAATGGAATACATAAGCAATCAAACATGACTATCTGACTATAAAGAAGAGAAAGAAAAATAAATAAATAAAATCTAATCAGTTATACACAATACAATTTTTTGAAACCTAATAATTAGGATATATGACTATCTATAATTTTCTGAAAAGTAGAAACTAATTCACATTGAAAATCATGATCCATTAATGAAACTAATTATATTGGCAAAAGAGCAAAAATATCAAACAACTTCACATATCTACGAAGAATAGCATGCATGTGAAACTGTTAAGCAGCAATTCTGTGCCACAAGAGTTGTGCTTGCATTTTTTTTGTAACATGTTTCCATATTCTAAGATTCGTCCTGTAATCCGCAACCCGTGCAGGAGGAGCTGCCGCCGATAAAAGAATGCAACACACAAGTATGCTAGTAAAATTGCGAGGCCCATAGTTGAAGTATTAAAGTCACATGCTTGAAAAACATTCATTATAAAAATGGTATGTTGAAATTAACTTTTAAAAAAAAATAAAAAAATGTCAAAATAGAATCTCAACAGTTAAAAAAATATAGTACAGTAGGTGGGTTAAATACACTGCACAGATAGGATGAGTTGTAGTTATGATAGATGCATGTGGTGCAATTCTCTTCCACGGTGTACTGCTACACATAAATTCATAAATATAAAATTATTACAATATAATTAAAAGAAACAAAGAATCACTGCTGTGCTAAAAAGTATACATATAAAAAAACAATGAAATATATAGTCCACTGTAAAAGATTCGTATTGAAAAGAGTGAGCGAGGAGTAAAACTGAAAAATAGAACACAAACTTACTGGGGGAGAAGGGAATCCAAAAATGGGTGCGTGTAAACCAAACTGACTCATTCACTCACTCTCACTGACCGTACAGCAACCAACCAACCAACCAAAATGAAGGAATATCTATCCATCTATCTACCAATCTATATCTACGTCTATGTCTATGTCTCTGTCTATATATCTATATCTATTTATCTTCCTTCCTAGCCGACATGAGAGAGCCAGCGTCAATCAATCGTCAACCAAATTCACATGCCATCCCCATCCCATCCACCTCTGCATGTTTTTACTTGCATTTCGAACAGGATCAACTCCAAGCAAGCAGTATGTTGCATCTCTGCTGCTGCTGCTTTTGTTAATAGAGAAAAAGCCAACAAACAAACAAAACGAGTCCATTTGTTTCATTGCTCTTCAATTGTGTGCACCTCCCTTCCCAGCAAGTTTGTCCCCTTGAACATCGTTAGCTGGTAGTCACGAGTGTACTTCAGCATCTGCTCCCCCAAACAATTCATTGATGTCAGACACAATCAGGAAATTCACACACATATTAAAGGAAACATGGTTAATTGTGAATCAAATTCTTTACAAGATACAACCAGACTTGCTTGTCCGTTGTTCTCCTCATCCACATGACATATACACACAAAAAAAAAAGGTCCGACTTACCTGCTCATGGCTCATCTTTGCAAACCCTAGCTTATTCATCCACATAGATTCAGCTTCCTCGGCAGCAGGGAGTGCCAGGTGTTTCACACCCAAGGATGACAGAAACCACTCTATGCAGGAAAACAGCACCCGAAAGTAGCCCTGCATTCAAGACAATATACTGAGATGAGACAACAAAGAAAACGATAAGTAGAACAAGCTCTAGAACTTGGCCACTTATTACATTTCCTTGGTAATTTCTACCGGTGGCCACCAACGGAATTTCAGCAATCTCTTGCCCAAAAATCCTGAGAAGAGCAGCTGATACAACAATGGACCTGCATACAGACAATAAAATCTGTGTTTAAATTTTACTCAGGAAATGAATGCAGATCTGAAAAGACAATTAAAGAATTAGCTCATCATGCCAAATTTTTAGGTGACTTACCTTACAATTAAAACAACAGTGTACATCCCACTAAATTCTTGCCCCGAGATGTTCCTCCTGCCACAGAAGTTGGGAATGATACTAAAATTGTGAGATGACAAAATCGTAGGAAATCTATAATGCAGGTCATGAGCACATGAAGGCAAAACAGGTAATAGAATCATTATAACTGAGGAATTTCATATACTCACTCCGTCCCAGATAAATTGTCCGGGTTACTTTAAAGTAAAATATAATTAATAAGTAATTAAGAAGTATATTAGTAAAAATTATTGTTATATAATAAAAATTTATATAATTATAAATTAAGATTAAAATAACTAAATAATTTTATTAAAATTTAAAATATAATTAAAATGTATAATTATATTTTCAAAAAAAAAAAAAAAAAAAGACAAATTATGTTAACAGACAAAAATGAAAAATATAGACAATTTAGACAGATATAGTATTATATTATTCTGATTTGGTATATAACACATTTTTACACTGTATGACAGTATTCTGTGCATCTAATTCCTAATTACTTGTCATGAGAGTAAAATCACAATCTATAAATCATCACTCAACCAGCCTGAAGAAATCACTCCCTTTATAATAAATGACTCACAAAATTGATCTCTGATGTCTGAAATATTCTATTTGATAAATAGGTCTAATCAACTACCCTATTTCAATTTAGAAAGAGCTACTATATTTCATAGGAAATGAGAATGCTCTTACCCATACACCATGACTGGGATAAGATCCCGACCTGATGAGGCAATTATAGGATCAAAGCACTCCTGAGAAAACATTAAAAAACAAAGGCCAACTTAACTACAGATGAATAAGATCATATAAACAATACACACAGGCAGATATAGAACAGGGCAGAATCATTAAATTCCAGTACATGCATGTTCAAGATATTTTGCCAAAAAAACATGATAAAAAAATCAAAGTGCTAAGAGAAGTAATCATCCAACAAGGGTATCAATGGATATGAAAATTGTCTACCATATGAAAGCTTCACTGAACATTAGGAAAGTAACTTAAACTTCATTTCCTACTGCAAGAAATCATGATTTCATCACAGACATAACTTCAAACCCTGAAAAACTTATGCAGGCCTTGTACATCTGGATTCTGGAGAATGCAAATAATCTAAAGATAGTGCATACATGCCAACAAATATATCCCAATATATCACAGCATTGCAATAGCGAAAGTAGAAGTGTGATTATCATATAGAAACAAGAGCTTACGCGAAAAATTTGTGCAGCTCGAGAAAGTAGCTTCAAATGCCCCATGAAGCGTTTTTTCCCATTAACAACACACCATTCAATCTCATTCTTCGACTCCCCATTCAAACCCATAGTAGGATTCCTTTTATATAGTATAGCTGATGCTGATGAAGGAATTGCCTCAGGAGCACTGCTAGACTTATTCTGGAGTATCTCAAAAATCTTGTAGCACTCGACACAGCAAAACCACTTATCGCCAGGAAGTTCCTGTAACAACATTTTGAACATAGATATTATGGAAAAGCCAACATAAACTCAAACTATGGTTGTAGAGAACATCAGAGACTTACTTTCAGATCACACATTCCAGATTCACGTAGACAACCAACATGATATTCCTTCTCACACTACACCAAAAGGAATGGTGTCAAACAAAAATCACAGAAACAAAATGCAAAAAGATGAATAGAAGCATTAGTGACATGAAATTCAAATAATAGATAAGCGGCCAATAATACTTGATCACATATAATCACTGTCCGGTCACCAAATTTAGCAGGACTGAAATCCTGTGACCTGCAAATTGCAAAATATGAAAATTATTTAAATGTATACTTAAAAATATAAACACACTCTTGCCTGCTGTGAGTTCTTAATCACAATGAAAATTACCCAGAAATCTTGCATTAAATGAACAAACCATCCAAAATCTATTTGCTATCATGTTAGAAGCTCACCTTGTTAGAAGGGTGGAAAGAGAGTAATGTACGTACAGAAACATTTATGGGACATAAAAGGATAATTATTTAGAAATTTATATCAAGCTGAAGCTCACTCTTTCAGATAGAGATAAATAGAACAATCAATGTACAAAGAACACTTAAAACAAATAAGGTTTAATTCTTCAGAATATTGCGCATTAAATTATGTCAATAAGAGGAAATGCAGAGGAGCAAACAAACTCATTCAACTTATCATTTTAACATAGATAGATAGAGATGGAGAGAGAGAGAGAGAGAGAGATTCCATTATTGAGAAAATAAATCAACATAAAATGAATATCTTTCATACTTGAGAAAATGAATAAATTACTGGTCAATCTAAAGGAAAAGAAGTGATGGGCATATCACACCCAATTTATTCAAGAGTAACCAAATAAAACTTAATCAGGAAACAAAAATGAACAGTAGGTTGTTTGGCACACCTGCAGATAATGCAACCTCCTGCTACAAATTGTGGTGTTTTGCCATCTTTTTTTAATCTAAGGATAATAGATCTTGACTTTCCAGATGCTTTTCCATCAGAACCAGTTTTTTCTTTGCAGTACGGGCAAATCCAATCATCGGCAGCAGTATATTCTTCATCCAAACAAGCTGCAATAGTAACCATGTTCATCAATCAAAATGCAATATAATTTCCAACTACAAACCAGCCTGATCCAATGTAGCTAGTCACCATGTAAGAGAAGGTAAAACATGCCGTGCATGCATGTAGCTCCTAACAATCATTCAATTTTGCACAAATAAGTAGATGGGAAATTGAAAACGTGAAACAGAAATTGCAATTGATAATACTCCCTCCGTCCCATAATAAAATATTCATTTTTTCCATTTTAGTCCGTCCCATAACAAAGTATCCATTTTTCCATTTTAGTCCGTCCCATAACAAAATATCTATTTCCTTTTCTAATAACTGTACTTTTTACCTAACATTACAAATACCCTTACAACTTACAATATATTACACAAATGTCATTAATTTTATATCACATACTAATAAGGTTATTTTAGTCATTTCTACTTTATTCTTGCTATATCTCAATATAATACTAATATTTCTAAAACTACGTGCAAAAAGCAAATGGATACTTAGTTTCGGGACGAAGTGAGTAAAATACAAAGTGAAATTGACCAATCCACTACTCTTGTGAAAATGTAAAATCCAAGAAAAAACTTCTAGGTTAGTGGGAAGAGAAGGATTTGGAAAAATAAAAAGTAACCTACCTGCATGAAAAGCCCGAGGACAGCCTGTGCACAATTTAAGTTCACCTCCATCTCCACAAAAAGCACACATATCATCACTGCCAATGGAGTCAAGAGTTTGTCCGTTGGCTAGCATCAATGCTACATCATGCAGTGAATACCCACTTGAAGTGTATATATGCCGATACCTGCAAACGAAACAAATATGATATTAGTTGGAGTCAACGAAATATAATGTGAACTCTAGTCTCCAAGAAGATACTCACGGTTGACGTTTCACAGCCCATCCAGCATGAGCCTCAAACTGGGAAGGACTTACCTGTAGAAAGGTAAAATTAACATAAATGGTTGGGAAGTTTGTATGAGACAGGAAAGAGAAATATAAATGCAGAATTTCCTGCTTTCACCACACAACTTGTGACAGAAAACATCATGTTCATATAGATGCCTGTACCTCTGTATTACAACAACTACAGACTATACCATTTCCCTGCTTGTATCCCCCAAGAATCCTCTGTGAAGAGACAAATATTAGCCAAAATTTCACAATGGAAATTCCTTAAGATGAGACCTACGTTCACCACACAATGAAAACAACCTTTCCCTTAGAATAATATGCTAGGCTGGTACCATCAGGTAATCCATTTGGCATGAACAGTACTTTGTGCAAATCATTGTCCCTGCCAGATAGAAGCATAAGATCACCAAAAGAAAAACAAACGAATAACAAAAGCAACAAGATAAAAGATCTATAATGGTAGATAACTTGCCTTTTTTTGTTGCCACCTGCTGCTGCTTTTTTGTGTCCCAAAAATGAACTAGACAAACTGGCCTTCTGTCTGCATTGCAAAAACATAATGAGAAACTCCAGATAACATCACATTTGCTTGAAGAAAGAAGAAAAACATACTTCTTAGCTGGACGCTTCTGTTCTGCAGGCACCTTCAAATAGCTCCCCTGATGAGAGGGATTTGGGTGAGAACAAAGAGATGAAGGAGGGCTTGAGCTGTCTTCAGAATGATTACTGGGATATCTAAAAGTAACCCATAAAAACTCAGAACAACAATGATAAATCCAAAGACTCGGCAAGCTCATTCAAAAGAAGAAAAAAGGAAGTTGGATTGATATGACATTGCAACATAAAATTACAAATACTGTATTGAACAGTCTATCTGACTTTAGAAGTTGCATCATTTGGATTTTCTTATAATATCTCATTGAAAACTTTTAAGTAAATAATCTGGCAGGTAGTGTTTTCCAACACTCTTTCCAGTAAGTATTAGCAGATACCAGGGTGGTGCAGACACAAATGGGCATTATTATCATAATACCTGGTGCTACAGTCGAACATGCCAAAGCACTTGCTTTGACTTGAACCATCTAAGAAGGCTCCATCGTTACCATATGGGAGATTGGCTGCACAATTCAACAAATTTTTGTAAACCAAAATGGTCTGGGTATATTCAAAATCACTTATTTATATGTAGGAGGCAGTAAGCTAGGAAACATATCATGTATAGATGCTTAACATCATGCCACTTCTTTTACTATATTACTACACTTCCAAAATCAATTGTTCCGCTGTGGTCGAACAACCAGCATTATGCCTGTTAGATTATGTTAAATAATTGTGTCACATAAAAGCGTAAGCTTGTAGATACACATCCTTTATTTATATTTTACAGAAGTCAACCGACATGCCTCCTCACGTGCAGTATATGCCATCATACGAATCGTGCACGTGAACAACAATGAATAATGACATGGTGGGACTCGAATATAAGGCCTATGGCTCTAATACTATATTAAATGATGTTAAATGACTATCTCACCAAGAAGCTTAAGCTTGTAAAGATATATATCATTCATTTATTTATATTTTACGGGAGTCAACCGACAGTGTCTCAGGTCTCTATGCCATCTCTATCTACAAAAATGTTTTCGATCTAAAAATGAGTTAGACAAGAAATAACACCCACTTCCTCAATTCAATGGTTGCAGATTGCCTAATCAATATACATGTCCTCTCTACAGTCTTGTAGAGAATACTGGTTGCCTGGAAAGGATAGGTACAACTACCAAAAGAAATTTCTTACGTCGGAAAGTGGGCACACTTTTTGTCACCCACCATCAACATCAATACAACCAGAAGGGCAAAAAACAACCATACTGACATCTTTACCTTTCCAGGCCTGCAAATTCTCCTCATGGACAGAAGAACCTGCCACAGCTCTTATCACACTATCCCAGGTGCTTGGAGTAGCAGTCCTCATTTTTTCAATTATGCTACAAATAGGCTTTCCATTCTCTAAATACACATGATTATTTGGATGCCTAGTCTTGGTACCAGCATGAAGCTCAAAGTCATGTGCACTAACAATCTGCATTGGTTAGATATGCATTACAATACAAAAGATGCAATTGTCTGACAAGATTAAACAGTTCAACCTGTAAACGTACTTTAGAGAAGTTGCATAGAGAACAACCACACAAGTAGCTGCAACCCTTGACAATTCCAGGAATCTCTTTCTGGTAACCAAGAAATCAAATTTAGTAACAGATGAAGATATACTAACAATGACTACAGCTCAGTGATAAATCTAACAAACATTACATAGTACCTCTCCTGACAAGGAAATATACGTAACCCTGGCTCCTTCCAAAATTCCTGTGGACAACAGCTTTTTGACATTTGCAGGGTAATAATCTGGCATTGCTTTGCTAGCCATAGAAAGACTTTGTGTTCCATGAAGATCAATCCCATCCGCGCTTAAATTTATTTCTGCATCCGAAAAGGATCACATCATGATTGATAAAACCATTACTAGTTAGAGGTTTACCAATGGAGGGAGATAAGTGATTATCATCAAAGTAATTGTGAAGCTCACCACTACTCAAGGGTTTGACAGCCACAGATAGGGCACAGTCGTAATCCTCCTTCCGCTTCCTAAACTTAAAAGTTATCTTCCTAATGCCAGTGGGCCTAACATGCTTTGGAATTTCAAGAACCACACAAGCTGTGGACACTGATTCTGCTGTACACTTCTTGTGCACTTCCTCATCAGCAAATAAACTTCTATAACAAGCAGATGTGACCTCTCCACAGCAACCTTGATCACTTCCATGGACATCAGGTGGCTGGCTACTGATGGTCATGCTCGAGGAAACATGCTTTGGGGGCAGATTTGGGTTTGAAACCTCTGAGTAGATATCATCATTGGAGGCCTCTCTCACTTCATGTTTAGGACAAGGCTCCGAAGCATCAACTTTTTCTTCTTTAATATCTTTCCCAATGGTAAATGGCCCCAAGTTACTAACTTCCATTGGTTCAAGAGCATGGCTTTCAACACATGGTTTTATTTCACTGTCACCTATGACTTCCTTTTCCTTCACCTCTGCATCATTCAGCGCTTTCTCAACTAAAATGTTAACACACGGATCTTCCCCAACACCATTGTTCAAGCTTTTGGACAAGGGCTCCACCTTTTCATTGACAAAAACTTGTTCAGCATAGGTCTGAGGTTGTAGCTTTGAAGAGTTTCCAATTTCTTTCACTTGAACTTCAGAGCAAAGGTCTAATTCACCTGTGGCATCCTTCACAGGATTTTCTACCAGAGAATGCAGCGCACCACCATTTGCTACTTCCTCTGTCCAAATGTCAGCAATATGGGCTACTCCCTTGCCATCCGTATCATTGTCCATCGGCTGCATTGATGTAGAAGCCTCTAAACCTTCCATACTATCACCAACATTGGATTCTGCACAAGGTCTAATTTCCACATTAAACAGTTCCGTGCCTAACTCCTTTGCACAAAACTCAGCTTCTCCACAATCCTCTATCATATATTCGCCACACTTAGATTGAATGCTAACTTGGCTATCAATTTCCATTATGCTATTGTGCAAACAATCCGCCCAAAATGCACGAAGCTGTCTTCTCCTCCCTATCCACAAAGGCCACCACGCAAAATCAATAAAAATATAAATTAAACAGTAGCACGTACTCCACCCCACCAAATTAAAGTTTAGCAAAACTATTCAGAGATTCTACTCTAGTTTTTCCATAACCTAAAAGCACTAATCCATTATGCTCCACCTTTTATTCAAAAAGCAGCATAAAGTTTCTCAAACTTGACAATCCAGAACCCAACCAGCAAGAATTCCAGGTATCATGCAAATGTCCCATAAATTTCATTTTACAGAAAATAACCGAGACCCAGTGAGGATAGGCAGCCAGGCTCAATCCATACGCAATTCCCCCAATCCCTCCTCAACCCAATTTCTGAGCTGAAATAAAATTTAATGTATTCAATTAAACCCACCTTCAATCCATTAAACCTGAAATCGGTTTGGCAATCCAATCCTCCATCAGAAAACAAACACGCACAGATCTAGTGCATAAATTGTCAATTCACACAAAAACGTCCAATTTTCCAAGCAACTGGGCGTACAGTAGTGAGAAGAAAACAGATCTAATCTAAGAAATGGGGAAAAAGGGCAAACGCAATATTAGGGTTTAATTTTTCGGTTAAACGAAAGGAGCGGCAACGGACGAAACTGAAAAGTTGGATTCGCGGTTACACGATACAACCACACACACATACATACATCCAGCCAGTTAGAATTTTCTTTTTCTCTTATTATTAATAATATCAAGAAAGATTAATTCGAAGGGGAGAAAAATACATATATTAGTATTACTATTATTTATTATTTTAACGTTTCTTCCGTTGGAAGTTTAGATAGAAACAAAGTCGTGTTTGTGATTTGGAAATGAAGCCGAGAAATGTTGGAATTAATGAGTATGGCGTGGACACGTTTTTGCATTACGTAATGGGCCAAGTCCACGTTGCCTGTGCAGTCGCGCCACGTGGTAGGTGAATGGTCCGTCCGTAAAAGCTTCGAGATCTATTCTAGAAAGACGTGTCCGTTCTGCGGTCCGGTCCGGTGCTTTCAATTAGACCTAAAGGCGGACGTTGTTTAGACGTGCATGCATCGGGGATACCATGGAACTGGCCCACCACACGTCTATTGTGCATTTTTATTTAATTTTAATTATAAGTTTAATAATATTTTATAAAAAAAATTATTTATATTATTTTTGAAAAAAAAACTGTAAATAATAAATAATATAAATATTATTTTGAAATTCAATTAAACACACCAGACACAAAAAATTTATTAAATAAATAAGGTGTATAAATATGGAGAGTATATTTTAGTAGTGTTTATTACTTCTTAAAATTAAAACAGAAACAAGTAACGACACAGCGGCATTCAACACTACTACTTGCTATAATACATCATCAGGGGTGGGGTGCCTCTGGGTATTCTATTCGTGGCCATCCGTTTTGGAGAATAAAATCCAGTCCCCACATTATATATATGAACGGTAGAGATTCCTCCGGGAGTTGAGGTCCCGGGACTCCCCCAAGAAACAATCCCAATCATCAAGCGCTCGGAGCGGCATCCCTGGCGACTTTTCGATGCAAGTACCCACCGTACTCTCTCGCATAATCCTTCACGTGACCGGCCGTGTCAGCGAACCGGGATCTCGCGTAATCGACCCGGTCCGAACCGGGCGGGTGGAATCCCCTAAAATACTTGTAAAGCCACAGAACCACCGCCACCGCTGCCACGGCCAACCCTACCAGCGATAAAATCCCAGCGACGGCGACGAAGAGCAGAGCGGCGACGGGGATCCACACTGGGCTGGAGATGAGAATCAACGGTCCGAAAAACACGACACCGAGGACGGCGGCGGCGAGTGTCAGGCCGGTGAGGAGAAGTAAAACGCCGCCGGCGATTACGAGCGTGGCGAGGCCGATGAGCTGGGTCGAGGACGGCGCGTGGTCTCGGAGGTTCTGCAGGAAGGCGGAAGCAGGCCGCCTCGCCGGAAATTGTGGATCGGCCATTATTGTTGAAGTCGTCGGAGGAGATGCGATCGATCGAGATGGCCTGGGCCAGGGCCAGGGCTAGGGCTAGGATTGATGATGTTGCAGTTGCAGAAAATGGTGTGTGTGTGTGTGAGGGCGGTGGGGTGAGGTGACGCGTGTGGCCGTCGATTCCATGCAGGGGAACACGTGGCGGGTACCGACTGAGTTTCGTTCGGGCAAGCGTCTATATTATGCTAAATAAATGGAGTAATTACTAATAATTACTAGTATCCTAACCCCGGCTGGCTGGCTGGCTCCGACGAAACTGAGAATCTATTTATTTATGATCCAGCATAACGCCCACTGTTACTTAGATTTTTAGTGATAATTATTTAAAATAAATTAAAATATTTATATATAAATCTATTTAATTAAAATAAAATAAAATATGTACAATAATTACATATTTATATTTTACTAATTTAGTAGTTCTATTATTTTATGATTTTTTTTATGTGTTTTTACTTATATCTTTACTTCAAATATTAGAAGAAAATACAAATTAATTGCTATAAATGTTAAAAATAAAAAAAATGATTTTTTAATTATAAGTTTATTATTAGTAGCTACGGGAAAAAAAATAAAATTGTAAAAGGAAATAATAATTGATCATATTAACTAAAAGATGTGTTAAAATACATATTAAATTACCTATACTATAATAAGTAAAATTGAAAACTACTTTATAAAATAAAATTAAAATATTATTTTTAAAATTTATTATAGACAATTACGATTTTTAGCTAGCAGAAGAAACAATTTATATAAAAAAATTGTAAAATTTCAACTTATGTTAAATTTCATACAAATTTTAAATTATTTTATTAGATAGTATGATTTACATAATCTATCAAATATTTATTTATAATAAATAAATAAATATTTTGTATAAAATCACTTTAAATATAGTAATATTAATAAACTAATATACAATAGATATATAAAATTATAATATCAACTATCAATATTTATAACTATAAAAATCTATAATTAAAAATGTCAATCATAATTATCTATTTTAAAATTTAAAATAAATGCAAAATTAAATTATATGTAAAAGTATTTTCGTTTAGAAAAGTTATGTAAAATAAAATCGGTCTACAAAATTAAAATTTAAAGATAACCATTTAAAAAATTAAAAATAAACTAAAACTATTTAAAATTATTCAAATATATAATTATTTTATATTATAAAAGGGAGAAATTGAATTCAAATTTTCAATCAATTTTTACAAGGACTGGTAAGGGAATAACTTGGTGCATTCAAAAAGTAATCTTCTTCGACAATATTAGTGAATTTCATGCTTTTATATAAAAAAATAAAAACAATGATAGTAGAATGAAAAAAACAGTAAAAATGTGTATATATAATTAAAAAAAATGGAATATCCACTGACCCAAATTAAGAGAAATAAACTAAAACTAAATTATACGTCCACTAATATATTTAAAATAATTGTGAAAATTAAAAATATATATATAATTCAAAACTTCAAAAAAAAATTGCAAAAATCTAAGAATATTAAGACATTGTACTATAGATATATACTAGCGCGTAAACTCGTGCTATGCATGGAATTATTATATTTAAGTTTAATCGTTATATTATTTTTATCTAATTTTATAAATATTTAAAAGAAATAATATATATCTTCAATTAAAAAATATATATAAACAATACTACTTTATCATCTTAGTATTCTATTTTTTTAAAAAAAAATAAAATTGTCATTTCTTGTATTTTTTTATTAAATTTTCTATTTTATATGCATGAAAGCTATATTATAAACATCCATTCAAATAATATTTTAACTATATGCACAATGATATAAACGATAAGATGAGACAATTTCGGGCCAATCCGAATTTTTCTTATCAGATTGGCCCAGTCCATTTTTTTAAGTGCCGAAGCAAGTTCTATCTATTTTTCTATTATTATATTTAAAATAATTTAATAAAAATTTATTGAACAAATGTGAAAATTGAAATATTTATTTATTAATATATTTATAAAATTATTTACTTTAAAATATATTTAATTTATTAAATCAGACCCAACTTGTTTCATCTGTCATGCCGGGCCAACACGATAAAAAAGAATTACTTTGTAATTGGACGTCCCAAAATAGAAATATGTATACTTTTTACCTAGATAGAGAGGATATAAAAGAAAGCGTTGAGCATATATAATCTTGAGGTAATGAATTTTCGACAAAACTCTTATCTCGGTGGAGGTTTCTAATGCCACTTACCTTTGTTAGGCGTTGATTCTTGTAACGAAGATATCTCCTTATATATAAGATGTACATATATGTAGTTATCCTAAGCTATACTCTTGAGGTAAAGATTAATCTTGGACAAAACTCTTGTTATTTAGCAAGTTTAGAGTTGGTGGGGCTGCACTGCTGCATTCATTACTAACTACTTTGGTGAATTACTTCACTCGTCTAATATTGTAGCTGCGTGTTGTTGTTGGCTGTTGATCCATCTTAATTTCAGAAGGCCAGTCTCACAATCACAAACAGTCTCTTTCCACCCCCGGCCAAAAGCTAAGCTGCTGATCGAACATGCATGCGTGATTAATTGCCAAGGGAAGCTAGGGGATGTGTACTGTACGTACGTAGATGCATGCAACGTAACGGGCAAAACAAGTAAGGGAGAAGAATAAGAATAATCTTATGGCTGATTTGAACAACAAGAACCCAACGGAATTAAATTAAGGTTTGGGAGATCTGGCAATTTGATTTGATTTTATTTGGGAATGAAAAAGTTGATTGACGACGACGAGTCTCTCTTTTATCTTTTAATAAATTAAATTAAATAAATTTTATTTATTAAATGAGAGGGACCATTTATTATTTGTTTAATTGAACCGTTGTATGCTTCTTCGTTTTCAGTTAAGCTATCGTCGTATACACAATCTTCTGGATACATACATACATACATGTATTTTAGAAGCCTTTTCTGCTGACCACCATCGTATTGTGCTGCTCTTAGTAGGGTGAAGAAATATTGTATCTCTATCCTTAATTAATTCTCATATATATTCGAAAATTGTGGCAAACAACAGTTGCAGTCGACGAGGTACAAGTACAGTAGTGATCAAGGACCAAACACAGAGGCCCACAAAGTCAAACACTCAAAAAGTCAACACCTACATAACTGACCGACCGACGGCAATGACGGAGTGACTACTACTCGTCACCGCCAGCTTGTGCATTGCATTTCAATTACTCGTAGAAATCAATTCCACCCAACACAATTTATTTTTTATTTAAAAAAAAAAAAAAATCAATTAAGTGCAAGGAAAATAACAGAGTAGAGAAATTGGATTCTTCAATAAAAATATGGAACGAATTAATCTGGCAGTTGCACATGAGTATGACATGAAGCTTTTGGAATTTTGAAAAATAAATAAAAATAAAAATGAGATGGTAAAAAGTTTATAGTGTGTTTATATAGTTACTAATGACTGTATTCCCATTTTTCCCCTTAAATATTCTATATTTTGTTAAATTTATATATGTAGCTTCGTCACATCAAAATGCACTCACCTTGTAAAACTAGTTTGAAGTTTGTTTATTCAATTAAAATTTTTCCATCCATTTTCTAATTAATATTATAGAAAATACAATACATATTTATGTAAAATAGAATATATATTTTATTTATAAAAGAATCAATCATTCAATAAAAAATTATTATTGCTATGTTTCTCTTCGTTTAATTAAAAAAAAAAAAACCGCTTTCAAATTCAAAACACAATATATATAAACACAAAGTGAATGCATTTGGAGGTGATAGATGTAATAAATAATGTCAAACATATACTCTCTCCCTTCCAACAAATGTATCCCTTTATATTTTTTCTTTTATAGTAAATTAATAATAATATTTTATTGTTTAATAGAAGTATGGAAAATAATTTTTATATTTTTACTTTTTATATTTATGCATATATGTAAGAATTTACGTAAAAATGAAATATATTTTGATATCAAAATATAATTATTTTTACCATAATAAAAAATATAATATAAATAAACATTATATATACAATTATTTCAATTGGGACGGAATGAATGAGTATATATATATATAGAGCATAGTAGAAAATGAGGGTGATCGAGGAATATAGATGAGGTAGCGACTGGTGTTCGTGATTGTGTTGGATATTTTAGGACAGTAAAACTACAATGCTAACAGAACTGAAGCTTTGCATTTGCATTTGCATTTGCAGCGGCCCTCAACGCACATGGCGGGCGGGATAATAATTGTGCGTGCGTGTGCGTGTGCGTGTGCCTGCGTACTATATTTATCGCACATGCCTGCCTGCCACCATCAATATCTATCTATCTATCTATCTCTATATATATATACTCCAAACTTTGCCCATTGACTCACCCTACTATTTTTTATTATTATTGGAGTATTATTCTTTTGATAATGTAACCTATAATCGTTATTACTAGCGAAACTATGCGTGACAAAAACTCATAAGTGTTAGAGTTTGAATCTATGACTGTACTTTTATAACTTAATACTACTATTTTTTTTTTGTTTAATACTATTATTCCTATTATATATTTCATTCGTTACATTTATCATGTCCATATTATCCTTTTTGTCCGTCTCACATTCCATGTCATTTTTTTTTTGGAAAATGATTATATAATTTAATCTCAGTTTAAATTTATATATATTTTTTTAATTTTTAATTAAACTAATTAGTTATCTTAATCTTAATCTATAATTATTTATATTATAGGATAATTATTTTTACTAATACATTTTTAATTATATACTAATTATACTTATCCTAAATTCTCGTGTCTACGGTGACAAGACATCCAACATGGGACGGAGGGAGTATAATGAAAAACTAAATAACCGCGTATCCTTCTATTATGTCTTTAATTTGCATTGGACTCCCTATTTGTTTTTGGACTTCTATAATACTGTATAAAATTCTATACTATGCGAAGTTAAATATCAGTTTATAATTAGTGATTTTTATTTTTTTGGATGTAAAAGTTGAATTTCTTCCTTTTATTTCCAATCATAATAGTGTATAATCTTCACTATTTTATGTATATTTCAGTCTTTCTGTTTATAAAATATTAAATTAAATCCACTACTTAAACCAAAAATCAAAACTTAAAAAAAAAATTAAAAAAAAATAAAAAAAAAAGAAGAAGAAGAAGAAGAAAAAAAAAAACACTAGATAAACACACCTATACATTTTGTTTGTTGTAGACAATATTTTCTTGTTAATATAAAATTGATATGAAATACTCTTTTCGTTTAGA